TTTTGCATTAAAATATTATATGTATATATGAGCGAAACGGAGTTATGCGAAGGAATTAGATGATAATATAAGTTACACAGGTTATTAATTATTTTGCTTGATCTTCCGTATCACTCTGTCCCTTGCAATCAATTTGGGCAACCTCAAAATAAATAAACACTTTTGAAGGAAAATATGTGAGAAAGACATATATGCCAAGTTGCAAATATTTTGAGACAATATATGAGCGAGAAACAGAGTTATGCTAATGTATAAGATGGAAGTTATAAAGTTATTTCGCTAGTACTTTTGCATAACTATGTTTCTCGCAATCAATATGTCATGTCAAAAGTGTTGTTGGTACGCGAAAAAAAAATTTAATACAGCAGAAGTTTTTCTTTTCTATCAATCAAAAAACAAACCTCGTAATTGAATACCCATTAAAAAAACACTTAAGTGCAATTTTTCTATCATATACAATATTTGTTAAATTATTTATATCTATTAATTAATTCAATATACACAACTTCTTTTTTTTTAATTTCAATTATTCTACTGTAGGATCGGACCGACCTAGACTAAGAATTTTTAGTACACGTGCACTCAACTTTTTGAATTTTTCAATAAAGATTTCGGTTCGTCAAACTGCCTACTAAGGCATTCATCTGATTTTCAACAGACGAATGTTAATACAGCGGCCATCATGCTTTCCGCCATATTGTATTTTTTTAACGACAGAGGTTTTCAAATTGACTTATTCAAGCGTAGTTGAAAACTTTTGACAGTACTTGACAGCCCGAAATATTATGATGTTTTACTACCATGACAACGCATATAATACAAAGACTGAACATGAAGAAAAACTTCTTGGATCTGACAAGACACGAACCAGTGTAGGAATGCCAATCTAGGACAACGTGGTGTTCGATCTTTGTATTAATAATTAACCCAAAATAAATTATTCAAATTATTGAGTGGATTTGTACTAAATACATTTTTTTTAATTAATGCTAGAATGGTTGAAACTTCTTAAGTTTTAAAATGACGTTTTGTTTCGTTATCGTTTACAATTACAACAAAAAAAAACAACGCGTGACAAATTAAATTTCCTGCGTGTAAAACATTTTTCTAACTATTCTAGATTTATATTGGTTTTAAGACGTTTATTTGAATCCAAAGAAATCTAACATTAATTAAAAAAAAGAGGTGGGGATACTAAACAGATTATTTTTTTTAAATCTAACCTTAAATATTCACATAATGTTTAATATTATTACTTTTTTTTACACTATTTTAATTTTTTTTTTATTATTTCCTCAGTTTTCAAAGAAAAATGCAACTTTATTGGAAATATCACATAATATTAACTATACACATTCAAAATTCAGGCAAATAAAAAATCTATACACTTTGCTTATCAAGGCTTTGCGACCATGGGGTTGAAAAATAGCGAGCAGTGGTCTGTACAATGATTTCAATCAGTCGATCGAAGGCGTTGAAAGTAAGCTTTTTTTCGTGATATTAAGACCGCTAGGGGATCTGTAATTTGTCACACAAAATTGGAAAATTCATCCCTAACGACTATGTATATATTTCTTGACAATTTACGATATTGGATATTTGAAATGACGTAAGAGACACTTTTACGTAAGGGAAAATGATCTTACGATAAAATGTCTCTTAGGACATTTCGAATTTCCACCATCTATATGGCAAAATCACCAGAGCGCCTGATGAACACGAGAAGTATAGATTTTAATTAAGACTTTCGTGCTTGTTCACTAAATTATTATCACGTTTAACTGTGAAGATGGATTTAGACCATCTAATGCGTGGAATCCTGTTCTTAGTGCTAACAAGAATAAAAACAAAAATAGTTTCACTTTGGTTCGCGTGTGGATACAATGAGTGTGGTTTGACGGAAAAAAGTGTGTGACAATGGTAACGCCACAAGTAATAGAGTTGAGAGTAGTCGTAGACAGATATGTTTGTTCTTAAAGCATGTCATCTGCCGCTGGCCAGTTAACCCGTGACCATGGGGCGTGTTACCGTTTCGAAGTGGCATTTTACGCATAAGTTCAGGTTTTGTGTAGACATGCCCGTCGTTTTACAATCCGTCAACGTTGGAAGATTCAGTGCTATGACTAGACAAATTGACTTGTTCTTCTTCTTTTAAATGTTATGGCCCCATCGAAGTAATCGATGATTTCGCCGATGTCAAGTTGAGGAACACACGCGGTTTGACTCAATAATTGACGGTGAATTTCGACAGAATTCACTGAGAAGAATCTAGAAATCTACAACGACAGCAAACCTACACAGACTATTACAGAAACAATTTTTTTTTTTATAAATTTACACAGCAGAAAGGGAGAATGGACTATCGTTACGAGGAAGTTGATATTAACGGAACGGGGGATTTTAGGTGGGAGGATATCATACAGAGGAGTGACGATACGGTTACAGTAAAAAAAAAACAGGTACTCTAGGGAACCTTCTGCGATACCACACTCGCACAGGGAGTGGTCTCGAACAACGGATCTTAGCCAAGAACACAAGAGTACATATCGAATGTAAACTAGCAACCAGTACTATCTCAATTTTGACAACTTTACAGGACAAAGTAAAATCATTTATATAGCATCAAGTTTATTAAATAAAAATACGTAGGTACATACATACATGTGTAATAAAAATATTTAAAAACTACATATTGTTATTTAATAATCCAGATGCTATATAAATGACGCAAACAATTTTTTTATTTGTCCTGTCAAGTTGTCAAAATTGAAATAGTACCGATTGCCAGTTCACAGTCAATATGTGAGCTAAGCGAAGGCGAATAATTGCGGAGGTAACATTATTGAAAGATTTTTGCGGTCATAATATTTTACTTAACTGACTGACTTACAATAACAGTTGTCTCTAAAGAGACTATAATGTCTGTCTTTCTTGAAGACGTAGTAAAATGACATCAGCAAGTTAGCCAGTTTTCATAAAATCTTAAATAGTCATGTAGTTGTTGTAGATAGTTTTATCGATATATTGTGAAAGAAGATAACATTTTGCCAAAAATGTCAGAATTGTAAATGTTACGACGTTCTAATGATTACTAATTGCGTTATTGCTTTCTTCATTATACATTGAATTAAAATGTGGTCAGTAGTTGGGTGAATAATGGTCCGATGATAACTCAAATTAAATAAGTGAGGCTGTATTATATAATTGTGTGATTATATAAGCCTGACCAACATTCAATCGATAGTCGATAGAATATTTATCGACTGTAATCACTAGTTGTAAAATAAACGTAATAATTACATAAATCTTGTGTATATGTTATACTCCGTCGAACCATTTATTTCACTTTTGACAGCTCGAATTGTAATCAATTAGTGATGTCAATCACTTTATAACAATCGATTTTATTTATGAAGAAGTTTTAATCGTGAACGGGTTAAAAAAAAAGGTATTGTCTGACTGGCATCCGAATAGGAAGTCGGAATGCGGCGATTCATTCTAATAAACAATAATAATTTATTATAATTATTTATAATTTTTTTCATTTCATCATAATTTATTAGACAGGTACCAAATTTTATCAACTTGAATAATCTTCGTTACATAATCTGTTGACTCGATAAATATCTAAGCTAAAGAGCACGTCGCTTCACTAAAATATTTAAATAAAAAAGTCCAAAAGTATTGCATTTTTTGTCTGTGGTGGTATGTCATAATTAAGGAGATTCGGAGGCGTGCATATGTTAAAAGTTAAATAAATGGTTCGACGGAGTATAGAGAATTTCGTGATACTGTATTTATAAAATTGACAGCTCACAAAATGACATGATCAAATGGCGTATGATAAAAATCCTAATTTTTTAAAAAGCGACAGCGCAAAATGAAACTTCTTCTGGCCACTAGGCGCGCTGGTACAATAGATCATAGAAATATTTACATTTTTTTTTGTTTTTTATACCAGTGACTCGTGGTAGAGGTGCAATATATAACGTTCACTGCACACGCCTCTTTCGTATCGCAAAAATAAAATCTGGTTAAATTTAAGAAATTAATACAATACTTAAAAAGTAAATTTGTTGTGACCTAATTGAATTACAAACACGACAATCGTGTCGTAAAAGTAACCGGAACTTGGCGGTACACACCGATTTAGGAACTATCATAGAAATAATAAAAGATCAATGGGATTTGTCATTTGTGTAATTATTTTCGTTATTTCGATGTTTCATAAGAAATGTGAAATGAAAAACATCACGAAAACTTAAAACAATAATTATTTTAAAATTTTCAATAGTTATTTTTATAGGCTACCAATTTAATTTTGATCTTGTCACGATGGTGCTAAGGGCGCTTTCACATTAGACGTTTATAGAAGCGGTACAGTGGCACATCTGTCACGCTGTAATCGCGCCACTATTATTTTTCATTCTAATCAGCACAAGTGACGCGACTATTATGCTGCAGCTTGAATTTATAATCATCATCATCAACAGCCTATCGTAGTCCACTCCTGGACATACATAGGCCTCAACCAATGTGCGCCAATTCGCCCGGTCCTTCGGGTTAACTAGATGTAAAGAAACCTTAATGAAGTATTTTATGAGACATTTGCTTATTGTAAAATTATAATGAGTATTTGAAAATGGTTCTAAATACATGATATATATTTTCAGGTGATAGACAACATTTTAAACTATTTATTTAAAATAGTGCTAAATATATAAATAAAGATGTTCAATAAGACGTATAACAAATTTCCTACGATATAGAACTTTATACAATACTATGGTAGCCACCAGTAACTAATGCATTCTGAACAACTGTCCTTAGCTTAACTGTGAATGTTGACCTTTATTGTAATCAAAGTAAACAAAGATATTTATAGTTGCGCTTCTAAATATTGTATAAAAATTAGTAGTGGCGCCACTGTGGCGCTTTTATAAGCGTCGAATGTGAATGTGCCCTAAGACTTAGACATCAATATAGAGAAAATTGAAGATGGGGTCTAACTGGTCTTGCCTTTGCAATATAATTTTAAAATAACAGAGTACTTTAATACTCGCAAATTATTGAAATAAAAAACACTAGTAATATAATAATTATTATAACAACGTGAAAATGTACAACGAAAAGAAAGATAAATTCCGTAAATTAGAAATAAACCCATGATCGCAGAATCTCAACATTAAAAATAATAACGGTCCTTACTACAAAACTGGGCCAAAATTGCCTGCGTCAAAATGCGACGGGAATTTGAAAGAACTTGGCCGCGACTACAGCGCGCGAATTTCCAATTCGAATCAACTTGAATACAGTTTTGTAGCGAAAACAAAAAAGCAAATTTTATAATAAAAATCTTTGTACACACTGAAAATAAATTTTGACTCCAAAAGACGAGATAAAAAAGAACACCTTACTTGGTTGAGTTTTTTCTTTGTATCGGTTTCTCTTTTTGTTTTTTATCGGTTTTAGGCTTGATGGTGACCTCCGGTGATAGTTTTTTGACTTCCGGCGGGGGGGTCTTTTCTGTTACAGGTGAGGTGGATGGCTTCTTCGGTTTGTTGGCTTTTGCCGCCGCCGCGTAGTTGATGGGTTTCGGGCCTGCTGGTAAGGCTTCTTCCGCTGGTGATGGTTGGAGCTGGGACAAGAAATTTACTTTTGTGACATAAATGCTTATACACTGTTAAAACCAAGTACAATATTTTCTACTTCAATTAACAGACCCTAGAAGGCTTTCGATTTTGCATTTCATTAATGTGAACATTACTGCGTTTCGGTATTGAAAGGTAAGGGCGTCGGTGAAATTACAGGCACATGGGTATTGTCAAGTCTGTTCCAGTCCATTACGTCAAAAAAGTAAATAAACCGGTTCGGTTAAAATTCTAAAGCAATCACTCAATAAATGGAATAAGTAACACTTTCACGCATGTTTTCAAGATTTCGACTTTCCAGCAATATCCATTTGAATAAAAACGTTCAAAAGTGAGGTTGGTAATCAAATATAGATTTGTGAATAGTCTATGGTAGCATAGGGTTGTATGGAAATAACTCAATCGGTTCATTAAATTAATGTTTTTGTAATCGATTAGTGAATCGAAAATTTTATCACAATCGACCATAAGTGTAAGATTTGAAGGAGGCTATAAAATTAGATTTTGGAAATTTTAAATTTGGTTTTTAGGTTATGTAAGAAAAAAATTCCAATCTCATGTATAAAATATCATCACTCTGTATAGAATCACATACTTTTTACAATAATCAGCAGCGAAATCGCAAAACCCATTTTATTACATAAATTCCAGTTATTCCAACTGATTCAATTAAACAAATGAATTCATTCAATTAATTAATCGATTTGTAGTTGGCAGTACAGTTGGTCATCACTAAACTGTCTGTAGTCAGGTCAATAATCTGTTTGTTTACATTTTTGGAACATTGGATTGGAACAGACTATAATAGTCCTTGTATCACTTTTAAATTTAAATATCAACTCTCGTTTGCACTGAAATCACAAATTAGAAAACTGAAATTGTACAGCGCCAACAACCGACCTGAGTGTACGTCTTCGTATATTCCAAAAATATTCTGTATTTATTGTAATAAAGATATCTCAACAATTGGGGGGTGTTCCATGCAGTGGTGTAGGAAAAACGGAATCACATTTCATCGGTAATTAAATACTAATTTTTCCTCCATTAAAGCAAAGCTCAAGTTAAACTGGTCGTTTGAAGTGAAACAATTGACAACACCGTTAATTGTTTCGAATTCGGGCTAACCAATCAGTGCGCAGTTGTCACCGTAATGATTTGGCAGAATAGTTTTCAAACAAATCAAATGACATTTCGTCTCTATTTCTGGTTATATGCGCGATGATCCCTGACGACATGTGATTTTGCAAAATCTACCTTGGGTGAATCTATGGCAGCGGTAGCCGTCGTGATCTCTTCGATTTTGTCTTCAATTTTGACTTCGCTTTTCACTGCCTTCACTTCTTTCTTTTTGGCCTGAAACAAATATATTTTCACAATTAATATGGTTCAATAATAACAAAAAGTTTCGACCATTCAGTTAGTGAATGAAAGTAATACGCGGTATTATGCCTCAAGCATACAGTTCAGTATTACACAAAAAGAAGGACACCCGTATATGCGTGTTTCCTCGACCTCTCAAAGGCTTTCGACCTTGTCTCATATGACGTGCTATGGCAGAAGTTGCGCTGTGAGACGGATCTCCCGGATGAAGTCACTGGGTTGTTCCGCTACTGGTACGAAAATCAGACCAACAGTGTTAGATGGGCGGGAGTGCATTCAAAAGATTACAGGTTGAAATGTGGGGTGAGACAAGGGGGGGTTACATCGCCGAAGCTTCTCAACCTGTATATTAATGCATTGATCGTGGAACTCAGCAGCGCCAAAGTGGGTTGCTCTATTGACGGCACTTTCATTAACAATATCAGTTACGCAGATGATATGGTGCTGTTGACTCCTGCGATCAGTGCACTTGGTAAGCTGCTCAGGATATGTGAGACGTATGCGGAAGCCCATGGACTCAGGTATAACACGAAAAAGACCGAGCTCCTAGTTTTTAAGCCGAAGACAGGTTCTGTTGGAACTGTGCCGCCGGTGTTTTTCTATGGTAGTGAGATAAGTCGTGTCTCTCAATTTAGTACCTGGGTCACTGGGTAACCGATAACTTGCATGACAGTGCCGACATGGAGAGGGAGAGAAGGGCCCTGTCTGTTAGATGTAATATGCTCGCCCGCAGGTTTGCTCGTTGCACCAAAGATGTAAAGATTTCATTATTTAAAGCATATTGCCAAAACTTTTACACAAGCAGCCTGTGGGTGAAGTATACGCAGAGAACCCTGAATACATTAAGGGTGCAATATAACAACGTTTTTAGGATGCTGATGGGGCTGCCGCGACACTGTAGTGCATCCGGCATGTTCACGGAGGCGCACACAGATGGCTTTTATGCCATTATGCGCAAGAAGGCTGCCTCACTTATGATGCGTGTACGCGGCAGCGCTAATAGCATCCTAACCGTTGTTGCCAATAGGCTGGACTGCCCCTACCAACTACATTGGGTGCAACTACACGTGCGTAGGGTAGTGGTCTAGACTCACTTCTCACTAAAATTAAGTAATTTTGTATTGTACTAACCATAGCACGTAAGTAAAATTTACTGTATTACTAACATTATTATAGATCATGGTCCGAAATAAATAATTCTATTCTATTATATTCTAATCTAATACGTTAAGAAAATAAATCTAAATAAATTCTCATTTAGGCAAATCTGTTTCACATTCATTAAACATTTTAATGATAGGACATTTTTATCATCGTCGGTTACATTGTCGCTAAACATGGGAGTGAGATTCACTGGTTTTATTATGAGGTACCAGGTTGGATTCCCGGACCGGGAGAAATATTTGTATGGCCTATATTTATTTCAACTCGTGAATTTGGGTGTAACTTGTGGTTGTCTATGTATGTGTCCATGGCACCCGTGACACAAGGTTTCCCTAGCGCGGCGCTATGAGTGTGTGCATTATTATTATTAATGAATATTGTCAGGAAAATCTTGTCGAAATTATTCTGTGTTCAGCGCGACATATCTGTTACGTAAACTGTCACTCCCCCGCACCGCGCATCTACCTCAAGAACCGGCTCAGTTAAATTGAAAATAATCTTTATTTCATAGGTAAGCATTATTACACTTGAAAATGTAACATTGGTTAAACTCTACCGCTCATTCGTAAGGCAGATTCCCCTGAGAACAATGAGCAAGAAACTCTAGGGGTTGCTCTTTGTAAATAACATTTGAGCTTTTTTGTTTTGCTTTCAAACTTCAGAGATCGAGACTACCTCCATGAGCTAAACGGGTTACTACCACGGATTTCTGTCATCCGAGTACCTACGCAGAAGTTGCATAATAGCCTTTAGTATAAAGTTTTTGCTTCAATATAGTTTTAAGCCTCGTAAATGGCAAATTAAGCTAAGCAGTAGGCATGCAAAAGCTCTGTAGCCGCGCGTAAAAGATCATTAAGATTTCTATGTAGGGTTATAAAAGACATATCTAAACAATTTCCAATGTGTACCATAAAAATAAGAGGGAAAAAATAATTTTTGGAAAAAAACTGTTTTGGTTAGTTCTGGCTCATTTTGAGTTAAGTAGATATTTTTTATTGTTTCTTACAATATTCTAACGACGGTTTTATTGACATGTAGAGAATCAAATTTTGCTTTCAGCAATTACGTAACCTTGAATTTTCACATATTTTGAGTTATAACACTATTACAATAGCAGTGCGATATTGTAGGAATATTAGTCGTGGCGCCTAATTTGAAAGTGCCCTAACCCTAAATATTCAAATAAATAATAATAACATAATAACGCACACACTCAACATAGCCCCGCACTAGGGAAACCCTGTGTCGCGGGTGCCATGGACACACACATAGACAACCACAAATTACACCCAAACTCACGAGAGAAATAAATGTAAGCCATACAAACATTTCTCCCGGCCCGGGAATCGAACCTGGGACCTCTGCGTGGCAGTCCGGCATGGTAACCGTTCGGCCACGGAGGCAGTTAAATAAATAAATGTATCTTACCGGAACTTTCGTATCCGACTTAACGACCTGCGGCTTTTTCTTGGGTTCTTGCTTGGCCGGTTTTTTGAGTTCTGGTTTCTTTTCAGGCTTCTTCTCTTTGGGCCTCTTTTCGATCGGGGCGATATCTGCCGCGCTCACCTCGGGGGGCTCCGTTGGTTGTGACTCTGAAATAAATACATCATCATTATCAACCCGGTTACGTCCTGGTATTGCAAACTGGTTGCGCCGAAATGGTATTTGAATTTACCTTGCGAATTTTAGACACTTTCATCTTTAAATTCCCATTCTAAAGCGGCAGACATTCCAACCATACAAGTATTGCAAAAACAAGCGATTAGTTGTGTGCACCGTTTAGGTTCTCGGGTTTCTCTCAGAGAAAAGTTTAAGGAGACTGGTATCATGACTGTGGTATCGCAGTACATTTACTCAAATATATTATATGCCATAAAAGTATACATATTTTCAATAAGAAGATATCCATAATATTAACCTTAGAGCTGAGTCCAAACTCATGTTACCACAATTTCGTTAACCAAGGTAAAAACTCTTTTATGGGGAACTGTATACAGGGAGCATATATTAAGATTATCATTTCCTAAGTTTAAAAATTACATTGAAAATATTTTAATTGAAAAGTCATATAGCAAAATTGAAGACTACGTGTTAGATAAAGATGTATGGAAAGACGACATGGCTCCAGATTCCACACAAATTTGATTCAAAGTGCATTTAAGTTTCTTTGAAAAGAGCAATCCCAAGAGTTTATTGCTCGTTGAGCTCAATGAAGTCAGCTTAGTGAATGAGCAGTAGCTTAAATGTGACGCTTACAAGTGTAACTACATTTTAGTTATGGAATAAATCGACACCTCCTACGTAAAGTATCGTATGTCGAAATTGCCAAGTTTACAGGGAAGCATTTTAAAGTTCTGAATTCACTGAAACGAGCATAACACGACAAAGCTAATCTAATAGATCATCTAACCGATATGTAGGATTTTACAATACTCTGTGTGAGTAACCGTTTGCCGAATAAAACTGAAAAATGCTAAAGTCACCTGTTATGCTCCTTTCAGTGGATCCAAAACTTTAAAACACTTCCCTGTAAACTTGGCAATTTCGACATACGATACTTTACGTAGGACCCCTCCTCGAAATATTCCTTTGACTTTTACTTTTAATCGTTAGTAATAGTTTGATTGGATCTATTATTGCTTCCTTGTTCCATCCCTTTCCCACACACACCTTACTAGTACGCTAGAGCGAGACAGTCTCCAAAACTGGTGACACCTAGCAGACGAAGAAGCTCTCGCTTCCGCACAGTTGACATCTCGCCAACGAATACAAACGGCCGCGCGCGCAACCGCGTCCGTTGCAACAAACACATAGAAAAATTTGGTTCGTGCCGTGGCTTAATTGGCAGAGCATCTGGCACGGATGGCCAGGGGATGCTGGTTCGAATGAATTTTTCTGTGTTTCGATCTTCCTTAATAATTATTGCAAACCAGTGGAGTAATTAAAAATAATAATAATAATAATATCATGGTAGTAAAACATCGTGATATTTAATAACTTAAAAATCAGAATTAATAATTTCAGTACAAAGTACTAAAAAAACCGACCTCAAGAGTCATTCATCCCCCAGTTTGCCACCCTTAGAGGTGGAATATTTTCTTCAAATTTAAATGGGACCAATACCAAGGTACCCTCTTTCCAACAAAAAAAAGAATCATCAAAATCGGTTGACAAATGCCGTGTAACATACATAAAAAAAATATGACACGCACATTGACTTACAAATAAATGGACGACGGGTCTAATACAAAAACCACGAAAAAAATGTCCCAAGTCAACCTATTCGAAATTTAAATTGTAATGTCATCGCAGTATCGCGCTGTCAGTCGAACAAATGAAGACTAAAGCGGAGTTTGACGCTCTGTATACGATTTTAACGCCCTACAAGGGCGGACACTTTTTAGCGCGGACCCGACGTCCATATAATTGTAAGTCAATGGACACGCACCGTCTGTTTTGCTATGACTGTGTTCTTCGGATGCACTGGACTCCTCTTCAGCCCGAACTGGCTCCGCCGACGCTTCCGGTGGAGATTCTTGCTTTTCTTCTGGAATCAAATATAGGTATAAGAACATCTGTGTGTTAAACTGTAATAATTCGAAAAGACTCCTATTGCAGGACGTCTTATGTACTTCACAATGACATCAACGTCAGTTGAGGCATCTGTAAAGGTACCAAAGGTTTCAAAAATCTCTCACTAGATGTCACTAGAGGCGACGAATGCCGAAAGCCAGTATAAAGGTCTATAGTCTGTTCCAATCTATTTTGAACAAAAAATAAACAAACATGTTTGGTTAAAATTCTAAAGCAATCACTCAATAAATGGAATAAGTAACACTTTCACGAATATAATAAATATAAATAATAAAAGATTTCTATTGTATTCTATTCTAATATTTCGAAGATTTAGGCTTGATATATCATCGCTTTTTCCAACGATATTCATTTGAATAGCATCGTAAAATCGTATTTGAAAAATGGTAGTCCAAAAGTGAGGTTATTATTGATCTATACTTTTATGACTTGCCTATGGTTGCATAGTGCTGTTCGAAAAAAAACATTCGATTGAATCAATTAAAATTTAGTTATCGATTATTACTTACATCGAACATTTCAATCGTAATCGAATCTGTGTAAGGATTTGAAGGAGGATTTGCATTGAAATTTTAATTATGCTTATATAGGTTATGTAAGGAAAACCGCTAGTATGACTCAATTGAACAAATCGATTCAATCAATTATTTAATCGATGTGTAGTTGGCGTTGCAATTGTCCATCACTAAACCGTCTATGGTCGGGTCAGTGATTTGTTTGTTTACTTTTTGTTCAAAATGGATTGAAACGAAGTGTATAACAAAAAACTTATATAAAAAGAAAACTAAAAAGTTTTGTAATTAGATGTTTTGCTGTTTTTCCCACACCACCGAATGGAATAGTAAATTATTAAGTAACGGAATTACCTACCTGTGGTGGGAGGTGGCGGCCTGCCACTGGGCACGAACTCCGCCGCGAGCGGGTTGAGGGTCGACCGCGACACCGCCTCTTCCAGGGAGAATTCCCCCGCAGAACCGTTGCTCGTTCTGGAAATATTTTTACGAGTCTTGAGGCAACACACTTGACGGACGTAAGCTACCCATAGTACAGAGGATCCTACTTTGGAAGCTAGGCACATCTCTGTGCCTATTTTACTGTATTGTGTTTTAACCGTGTAGCTAATTGTAGGTCTAATCGTTTCCTCTATACATTACAAATAACCGTGAACATTTTTACGCAGCCCGCAGAAAACGCAGAAGAACCAGCATCAAAGAGATTCTGCTCAGAATGTAATATTGAATTTCCGACAGTGCATACATGGAAACGACACGTTTTAAGTTCCTATACGTATTACACGCACACAATGAGCAGTGAAAGCGGTCAGTAGTTTTTTAAGACTGTTCCAGACCATTATGCCAGAAAAACAAACAAACCGGTTTGCTTAAAATTCTAATGTGAGTGATTGACTCAATAAATCGAATAAAAACACTTTCATGTATATTTCGAAGATTTCGACTTGATATCTTACCACTTTTTCCATCAATATTCATTTGAATAACATATTAAAATCTTATTAGAAAAATGTTAGTTCAAAAGCGAGGTTATTTTTCAAATATAGACTTGTGAATTGTCTATAGTTGCATAGAGCTGTACAGATATAACGCATTCGGTTCATTCAATTAAAGTTTTTTGTAATCGATTAGTAATCCGAATTGAACGAATGTCTAAGTGCAAGGCTTTGAAGGAGGATTTAAAATTAGATTTCGCAACTTTGATATTTGCTTTAATAGGTTATGTAAGAGAAAAATTCTAATCTCATGTATGAAATATCAAAATCCATTTTATTATAATATAAAACCCAGTTATGCCAACTGATTCAATTAAACAAATCAATTCATTGAATTAATTAATAGATTTGTAGTTGGCAGTGCAGTTTGCCATCACTTAACTGCCATTCATTCATTCTATGGTCGGGTTACTGATCTGTTTGTTTACACTTCTGGTACAATTGATTGGAACAGACTATACCGGATTTATTACGGAAGAAATATTCTTTTAAACAACCGAATATGACGCATAATTCGGCCGCGTATGTCAATAAACCCTGTAAGGTACACTCACGTGGGGAAATGGTGATTGTTGTGCCCGTTGTGCGGACGCTGCCGTTCTCTCTGCTCGTCTTCCAACATCGCCTCGATACATTGCTCCATGAGCGCTTCCTCTTCTAACTGTTGCATCACCTGAGAATAATAATTTCTAATGTTTAATGCCCAAAAATACAATAGAATACAATAAACACTTATTGTCTCCCAAAATCTTACAAATATTACAATGACATTTTGAATAAGTATTATATAATGCTACAATCAAAGAGTTAAACACCCTAAAAAAGATATTGAGAGAAAAACGCCTTGAATTGGAGAAATAGCAAAATCAACCATTAAAGTAATTGCTCCTAAATTAAAGTTAGGCGCTATTTATAAATGAATCTTCATGGGTGAACTGCCACCCTTCGAGGTTGATGATTTTCTTCAAAATAAAATGGGACCACTATGGAAGGGGGTACCCCCTTTCCAACAAAAAAATAATCATGAAAATCGGTTCACAAATACCGGAGTTATCGCGTAACATACATAGAAAAAAAACGTACAGACGAATTGAGGACCTCGTCCTTTTTTGAAGTAGGTTAATTATAAAATAAGTGTATATTTAAAATTATAGTAATTTGAGTATTACTGCGTTCCGGTTTTGAAGGGTGCTGGTGAAATTACAGGCACATTAGACTTATCAACTTGACGGGCACAATGGCAGTGCCCCCAAGATCTTTGCGATATAAAGCTCTAATGGTACCTTCCGATTTCTTGTTATGGGTATATTACTGCTTCCACTTGCCGCACTTGGTTTAGAATATATTGGCGGCATATTCACTTTCACACAATCTTCGACATTTGACCAATTAATAATGGTAATTTTTTTTAAACTCTAGGAGTAATTATATTGTATAAAAATTCAAATTCGCGTCTTAACAATATTGTAAATGCTTTTAAAGTGATTATTATATAAATTTGTTTTTTTTCTTCAACAGTTACACATAACAATGTGTTATTTAGTGACCACCTAATGACCCTTTTTAAATTATTGGTTTTGCAATTAATAAATTACTGGTAGTTAGCGAATTTTAATTGCTTTACAACGAAAAGATAATTAACTCATTTGTTTTTAAAGGTACGTGTGCGTGGTCATCGAGGCGTGCTAGACGTAATCCTAATTGCAACAGCCTCCGTAGCATGCCGCCTCGATAAAGCTATTATATTCACATTTTGCTGTCAAATTCGAGTGATAAACGGCATTTTACAATTTTATCACAATAGCGAACATGGAGAACACCGTGACGTAATACTTTTATGTCATCGCGAGCGCTGGCACCCCTGACAGCAAAAAATTAAGTGGCAAACATTGCTGCAAGGTCACAGCTGATTTTAAAACGTTTGCACAGTAATTTTATCAACGTAAAAATTGAGCGCGATAAACGAGATGAAAAGACGTTTTGTCATCATTGTCATTTTTTGTTTCATCGTTTTCGTGGCGATGATTAAAAGACAAAGACAGCTATATACGCAATTTCATATTGTTGTCTTTGTTCTTCAAAATGTATAACAATATTTCATTACCAAATAAACAAATTTAGATTTATGAAATTAAACATTGTCAAGGCGAGGTTTATCATACATTCTGCCATGCTACGGCCACAGTGTATATTAGAATGTTGTAATGCCGTATAAATCAAAGCATTTCACGATAGAAAAAAAAAACACAAAGTTACCTAGAAATTTTACAAGAAAACCGCTGCATTCAATAGATACTTCATATATACCAATGATTTTTTTTTTATATCAACTGGACTAAATAGAACACGT